GCTCCCTTCCCCTGTGGCGACTATCAAAGCGTGTGCACGTCTGTCTCTGAAAGCCCCGAAGCTTGACATGACGTACGATTGTTTTACAAACGAGGGACAGGCCCAGGAAGGAGCCAGTGGGTGGCTGAGCGAGGAGCAGCGCCCTCCAGATCCACCCTGTGCCCAGCCCGACCTGGGTGCCCGGCGGTCTCTATGGCCAGCGCGTGCAGTTATATACAAACGACACCCCGGACCCGCTGAGCAATGACCCTCAATCTTAAGGATGCGGGGGAGAGGTGGCCGGCAGGCTGGGTGTGGGGGCCGGGGACCCTCTGCTGCAGGAGGGATGGGAATTCACACCGCGGGGGCCTCCCGTTCCCATCAAATCCAGGAGGACTTCCTGGAGGAGGTGGGGTGTTTGGAAGCACCTGCGGAAAGAGGGTGTGGGGCTGGCGATGAGAAGCGATACGCGTAGATGTTAGAAGCGGGCCGTGAGAAGGGACCATGTTTCCCCGAATTAAAGGACTCCCACGTGGAACACGGGGGACCTCGTAACCAGATCAGAGCCCACCCTTGGTCGCCGTGGCATTTATACGCACATGCCGCCCACCCTTCAAAACCAGGCTTCCTTTCTGAGGGCTGCTCAGTTATCACACAATCGCCCCTGACACCCGCCCGCCCCGACAGAAAATAATGATTCGGGGGAGGGGGGGTTCTGAGAGCCAGCGTAATTAGTCCAATTAATCTCTGGCGATGAATTATTCTGTCCGATAATCGTCTTCGGAAGCAAAGGATTCATTAGCGTCCCTGGCTGACAGCAGGGAATCTTACGTCCTTTTATCGCTTCTCCTCCCCCCAACCCCCGTTCCCTGACGAGAGAGAATGAAATTGGCTCCCACTTGGATAAATTCTGTCTCCATTAACGGGGAGGCCGGCCCGGGGAGGAGCCGAGCCCGGGACCTGGGCAGCTGCCCCATGTTGCTGGCTGACCCCTGACCTTTGGGGGGTAGGGGCTCAGTTTATCCAGTGGAAACTGGGGGAGAGTTGAGTGCGAGTTTGTGACCAGCTTGTAGATCAACAGGGCATCTCTGTGGGAGCAAGAGGGGTGTCCTTGTGACCCGACCATCGGAGGGTCCGGGCTGCCTGTCGCGACTTGAGCCAAGGCAGCAGACACAGAATTGAGTCACTTAGTGTTTAGCCAATCCTGCCGGCGCCGTGGGAGAGCAGCAGGCCGCTCCCCCCGCCCCCCCCCCATCAGCAGCTGCTTGTATTGGGGAGGACAAGGATGACGTGGGGAAGTGGGCAAAGGGTCTGCCAAGTGGGCAGTTCACAGGTCTGGAGATCTGCAAAGGCCTGTGGGTCTGCAAAGGCCTGTGGGTCTGCAAAGGCCTGTGGGTCTGCAAAGGGCTGGGGGTCTGCAAAGGGCTGGGGGTCTGCAAAGGCCTGTGGGTCTGCAAAGGGCTGGGGGTCTGCAAAGGGCTGGGGGTCTGCAAAGGCCTGTGGGTCTGCAAAGGGCTGGGGGTCTGCAAAGGGCTGGGGGTCTGCAAAGGCCTGTGGGTCTGCAAAGGGCTGGGGGTCTGCAAAGGGCTGGGGGTCTGCAAAGGCCTGTGGGTCTGCAAAGGGCTGGGGGTCTGCAAAGGGCTGGGGGTCTGCAAAGGCCTGTGGGTCTGCAAAGGGCTGGGGGTCTGCAAAGGGCTGGGGGTCTGCAAAGGCCTGGGGGTCTGCAAAGGGCTGGGGGTCGCCCAGGGTCTGGCGGCTCTGGCTTCTGCAACAAGGCTGTTCGTCTTTCCATGATCACAGCCCTCCCAGGTGCGCTCCCAGGTCCCGCCTGCAGCCCCCAGCCAGGTTAGAACGTGCCTTCTTTAACCGGAACCAAACCACCGCGGTTAACAGAGCAGGACTCCCGTTCCTTGCAATCCTAGCTGGTCCCCAATATTGTTTCCGCCCCGACATCCTCGGTGTTAACGGCGCTGTACCCACGCGGAAAGGCAATGGCGTCCCAGTGGGGTTGGCCGCGGCACCGTCCACCTTCGGGGCCGGAGACCTCCGTGCGGAGGGGCAGGTGAGGGTGGAGGGCAGATGTGGGACC